TGAGAATTAGAATTTCATTTCCACAGCAGCACTTAGTTAACTAGCTTATTGATGTTGATGATTTCATTTTATATATAATTTAAGCCGATACTTCATAATAAATTACGAACTGTAATAAACTTAATAAAATTATAATTTCACATTTATCCAATGATGACAAAGTGGCATTGTATTCTCTCGAATTCTACTATCAAAATGAATGTAATTTGAGCTTCGAATCAATACAATCTCGTGAGAGCTCACGCAAGACCAACTAATATTCGAAATTAGAATTCGAAAAATGGATTCGAATTTATTTGACAGAATCAGAACGAGACGTTTAACAAACGCACGGCTGGCAAAAAATGCATTAGTGGTTAATTCGGATGTATTTATGTCGCTCGGCTAGGCGAAAACACGTTGCGGTAAAAAAATGCTGAGTCAAGAATATATATGCCAGAGTGGTGAGATTGGAGCTCCACCCGTTAGTAGAATTTTATTATCCTTGCGAATTTTGTTGGTTACGTGAATTATTCTCTGTAGGACACATTTCGAAGGCAAAAACGGGAATTATGCCAGAAGGAATTTTATGCCAAATCTCTTGTATTCAGCAACTTTGCATAAAAATCACAAGATTTTAAACGAATTACTTCCAATGTTTCTTTCAATTAGCTAAAAAGATAAAAGCGAGAAGAAAGATGATTACAAGTAAATAAATATTATTAATATATATCTCTAATAGATATTCCTATATTTTGAACAACTTATTATAAATTACTTTTCGTGAAAGTTTCATTTGTCACAAGATAGTTTTTTCTATCACATTCTATTAAAGTTATTTCGTTATTTTTCAATCAATCTGTTCTACTTTTGCTGACACTTCTATCGATTCTCATCACCGACAATCTTTATAGATTTATTAGAAAACAGCCCTTCTACGAATTTCCAAAGTTACCCCAATGGGAAATTTCGATCTACAGTCAATAGGGATTTCTAGCTTTTTGTGGAATGGATTTGTAAAATCGATCTCGCCGTCGACTTCATGTTTTACGATTTTACGAATGAGAGAACGTGCAAAAGAAAGACGATTTATTTCGCACCAACCTTCCCTGTTCCAGACATAAACGATCTAGACGGAGTAGATGCACCTGCATCGATGCGCTCGTAGCGCATAAAAAGGGGAGAATAAGGGTGGATATGGGGGTTGGGAAAAGGACTCGGTTCGTCGACGTGTTTGCTCCAAGCCGCTTATCGACCACGCTGGAATTCTTATGTTCTGTAACGCTTCGTATTCTTCGTTCCTTACCCATCACTTATTCTTCTCTTTAGCTTTGTGCAGAGTTCAAAATCAACGGTTGTGATTCTACATACGCAAACGAAGCGAATAATTCCATGCTGATTTTTAATCTTACTCATTGCGCGAGAAATTGACAAAGCTGGACAATGCAATGGATTTCTTTTTCTTTACATTTCTTTTGTTAATATCCAGCCCCGCTTTCGTAATCTCTACAAATTATCATTTCCTTCTATCATCTCATTTCATACTACTACCATTTCAACAAGTTTCAGACGCTTTCTTTATCGGTGTTTTACATCTTTCGAAAGAAACTAGAAAGTTTTTCTCCGTATTTTAAGACGACGATCTTAGATCTTGACGACGAAATCTATATCGAAGTTGAAAAATCTTGCAAATCGAAAAATTTTAGATATCAAGACATAATAGTAACTTCGTGATATAGAACAGCAAGATTTTAAGAATCGGACAATTCCGCGACTTAAAAAGAATTAAAAAAAATTCTTAAAAATATATTTTAATAATTTAGAGATATGAAAAGTAAAAAAATCTCAGAATCCAGAAATTTCATAACTTCAAAATATAAAATTAGACAAATCTAATTTTGTATTTTGAAATTTCTGGATTCTGAGATTTTTTACCTTTCATATCTCTAAATTCTAATTTTATTAAAAATTTCTTGGATAAAAATATTACAAGTGAAATATGTGAAAAATTTCATAAAAATTGATATATTTCGCTTCGGATTCAAGTAGTTTTATTCTTTCTTTGAGTATTTATTTACTTATACGGAAATAATAAAAACTGTCATATGGCAAACAGTAAGCGCAATTAATTTCGTGTAAAACGAAGGAGTAAAATGCGATATATAGAATATTTCAAAATAGCGGATGTTTATCATGAAAGTTTATTTAAGGCGGATTACAAATTGCATAAGCGAAAATGTTGAGTTTTCAGCGCAGCAGTTATGCCAATATGAAATTCTTTCGGATTGTATGTATAAAGTTACGTTGTTTATAGTGTATTTTAGCTCCAACTTTCGATGGCAAAATAACTTGTCCTGCCTTGCCTACCCTCGTTGCTTTTTATTTGGTCGACGACGTTTGCAAACGGAAGAAACGGAAGTCGTGCGTTATCGTTGTCGTTTTCCCTAATGTTCTCAGAAACTGCTGAAAGATTCACGAACGTAAAAAAAAACGATCACGAAGACTTCGCCTAACTAAATCTTACGGTGTACTTGCCTTCAACTTTAAAGAAGACACGAATAGTACTCTCACTGTATCTTTGCCACAGCCAAGAAAATTACATTTTTATTCGTTGTTTGCGAAGGCAAACATAACCGACAAATATATTCAATAATGTCATGTGATATATAAATTAATAAATTAACTCATTAATTTATATCAAATAATTATAAAACATTATTTTCCATGGGAAAACACATCTGCCTCGTAACAGTGCAATAGATTTTATAGACAAGGAGATGCAAAATGATACTTGATGACACGCTGGTGTCTGCATGAATATGTAATTGTACATGTCACCGCCAGCTGCATTGTGCAATTGGCATTTGTGATGGAATCGAGATCAATTTTCACACACGATATAACTATTGAGAAATTTCCGCATTATCATTGAGTAATTTATTATTTATCATCATTTTCATACTATTAATATCGAAATAATATTAAATGCTATAAATATGTCAAACATTATGAACTGGCAAAATAATATTCTTTAGTCAAATGCCAGCGTAATATATATATATATATATATATATGTATATATATGTATCAAATGTACAAATGATGCATTAAAAAAGTTAAGGTACTAAAATAAATATTAATAAATTGTTTATTTATGTCACTATTTATTTTTGTTTATTACTATTTATTACCATTGTTTATTTTTATGTAAATATAATATTGGTCAATATCAATTGGATCAATTTTATATGATACATTTTCTTTTCTAATGTTAAAAAGTATGAATTGGTTAAATTGATCAATTGACTAAAAAATTTCATGATAGCAGCTTTTTTTTATAATCATTAAATCTCAATGTCGATGGCGAGTTGCAACTCGTTAATCCTCAAACGACGAGGATTTTAGAACACGATGTGACATCGAGAGGATAATCCCACGACGGAGCACTTAAGCGTTTAAACTTTAACCCGTTCGATCGTGCCAATCGGTTCGTGTCGCGAACAATCTTTTCTTCGAGATAGCAGTCGATCGAAAAGCGGCCGTAACATTCGTCTTCCATTCGAGAGAAGAACAGAATCAAGTCAAGGCCGCAGTTTATGTAACCGGGCTCGACGAGTAAATAATACAAACGATACTCACCAACCACGTTGAGGCTATAGTTGAGCGACATCTTCGGCTCGGTGCTAACCTGGCACTCGTATACGCCAGAATCGCGCTGCTGCGGCGACTTGATTTGTAGCGTCCAGTTCTCCGACTTGTCTGGATGGATCACCTGGAACCTCAGGTCCGACGTATACATGAAGATGCCCGCGCTCAGAATGTGCATATCCCGTTTGCGCATCCAGGACACCTGCAACGTAAACAGTACAACCTGTAGTTGCATGTTTGCTACGCAAATTTAACACAGTTTGCTGCCGCAAACTGACATTTTACTTTTTCAATCGCCAATCTCTAATTTGTGTGATTTTCAAAATTCTAGTGACTTTAAACATCTCCAATATTCTAGCTTTAACAAATAAATTTATGAAGATTATTGAAATAGTATTTAATTGAAATTATATATAGATATTTTTTAGTCAAATAAAAAATATGTTAATGCTTGAAAATCTATTACTGATACTATCAGTTTTTATTTTAAATATTATTCATATATTAAATATATTACAAATATATATTAAAAAAGAAAGAATGGCAAATATGTTAGAACAACTTTTCTTTTAAAACAATGTCACTATTTTGTTTCTTAAATTCGAGATTACCTATATACACAAACACACATATATATATAACGATTGGCGAATTGACTAATTTACATAAACTTTGAATCATGAAGATATTCAAATTCAGGAACACGTTATAAATGTTTAGTACCGGAAGTTCTCAAGCATCAACGCTCATGCCGTTACAATACTGGCCCGGGAGAGCCTGCAACGTCTTGATCGTGTTAGAACAAAGACTAGAGAAAGCACCCACAGCATCGTAAATCCTCGGTTGGTCGACGTGTGTGTCGCAAACGATCTCTATAGTCTCTCATTGTTTTGCGCGCGAACATGTCTGCCGGCTATTTAATGCGCCGTCAGAGTTCCGGGGCGTAATTTCCGAGCGCGCGTTGAAAACGGCAGCCAAACGCAATTATCAGATTTCTTCCTCTTCCTAAAGACTTTTCTGTACACTGTAGTTTGAATTTCTTTACCACGAAAGCTGTATTGAATTCGTATAAATTAATTTTTATGCGGGCAAGCGTGGCTTAAGTGAAGATTTGCGATTTATTTTCAAAAGAAGAAATAATTTCTTTAAGAATCCGATTAAATTACTTTTCTTCCCACCCATAATTAATTTAATTCTTAATCTATCTAATAAAATAATATTAAAATATATCTATAATATTGAATTTTAGATATTTTTTAAGCAATATATATAAAAATATATAAAAATTAATTAGTAATAGTCACGTTTATAGAATGAATCTAGAAAAAAGAGATTTTTCTTTCGTATTTCTGTTGTGATTAAAATTTATAATAACGTAAAATAATTTAGCATACATTCAGAGATTTTTTTTCAAGTCTCCTCATTTCCTAATTTTATTTTTTTAAATTTTCATTAAGTGGTCAGTCGATGGTGTTTTTTAACAATGTATAGAAGCCAAAGAAACAAGTAATTCAGACAACGTTCGATATATCCATTAAATGGTAATGAAAGATAGAAAGTTCAATTTAGGTAGATGGCTTAGCCACGCATATCACGGCGGCGTATGATGCACTCGCATGATTGGATGATACCTTTGCGAACAAACGCCACGGACTAATTCACGCAGTGTGCTAGTGAATCAGAGGTCAGCCACCAGCAATAGCGATCTACCTCGCGGAGTAGTGTTGCATCAAGCGGATTGATTGTCTCCTATCTCGCGACGATCATCATCGGTCAACCATGAATTTCATTTTGCAAATTGAGTTTCCTGCCTAAGGTAGCCATTGGAAGAGAACTGAACGTTCAGTGCTAAAAGCATTAATGTACAACATTGGCGATGTAAAAACAATTGATTTTTGATGAACCGTTGATGGAGATTGATTATCCCACCAAGAATCTCGATTGAAGCTATATTGACGTACTCAATTGTGTTCAAGCACGGATCAAAAGCACTTTGACGTTTGAACCGTATAAACTCTATGTATTGCAAGATATATATGTACGTTATCGAGATACTTTACATTCTAATAGATAATTTAATTGATTTTGATTACATATTTGTTATGACAAATAATTTATAAACTACAGATTTATATATATTATTTATAAAATTTGTCATAATTAATAAAACATTTCACATAATTTATCCTTCATGTGTAAATATTTATTTCTTTCATAAAACACAAAAGACTTCCTTCTCTTTAATTTTATAAATAATAAGGATTTTAATAAATATTTTTAAAATATTCTTTTTGATAATATAATTGATAATGTAATTACTAAATAAAATTAAACATTAATTATGTACTTTGTTTATAGATCAGATAATATGTGCACTGATAATCGTCGAAATTCCATTTAGACAAGTCGACACAAATGTCATCTTTCTTTGCATCCTATGAGTAACAAAGATAAGATATTTAATTATCACTAAATAAAAAGCACCCATATTGTGATTCTTACAATTGATAGGAATGAGATATTTATTATGATCTAATTCGAATAATGTGCATTATGGTGAATTGTTACATGGAGTTCCGTTAGTTGTCATACGATATGCTTAATACGTTTATATAGAGTTGTTATTATATGATGCTTGTTAATGCATTAATACAGATGCATTAGTACAGTATACAATACATTTGCGTCAAAAGCCGCGAACGGCTTTTAATGCAAACGTATAGAAGAAAATTTTGCTCAATTACAGAATTTCTTCATAAATATGTATTTCTACACAAGTATATACATAAGCATGCAAGCTACGTATTTGAAATTCGAAAATATCTTATATTAATATACATTTATATAATATAGAATTAATAGTATTTTATACAATTTACACATATTTTTTCACTTTTTTCTATCTTCCTCTCTTCTTTCTCTTTTTATAAATCTAAATTTTAATAAAATAATTTCATATATTTTTTTTGGATAATCTTCATTATATAATAATATCATAAATTGCGAATACTACGTTATTGATGAGACAATGTAAAATAGATTTCTTTATTAGAGAAATATTCGAATACATTTTATATTTGCAATATTTTTGATTCTGTCCCAAAAATGTTATAAATGTAGAATGTTATAATTGGCCGCATATTTTTTTTTAGTTATTATATTTTATACTGCTCCATATATGTGAAAAGTAGATATTATCAATTTTTTTTACGCTCTGAAAAAGTATCAAAATTGAATCAAAATATATAAGCTCGAAATTATAGATTATAGACTATTAGTTTTTAAATACTAAGTTTTCACTTTACGCATCAATTTTCACCCGACTTCTAGATGCCTTTTTCTTATTTAATTTTCTTTTATTTTTTGTACAAGCTGCAATAATATACATGGAAAGAATGATTTTGTTAAAGTATTTGAAAATTTAGTTTAAAGTATATAGATCTGAAAATAATTTTACTTATTTTTAATTTATTAGACAAAATTGGACTATTAAATTATATAGAATTATAATTATATAGAATGCTCAAATTAGACTGTCAAAGTTTCACGCAGCCATTATTCATCATGCTGGAAATTTTCCACATATTATTTTGACGGATCAGAATTATTTTCAAATAATTCTATATTTATCTAAATTTTTAAATACTTCAGCAAAATTATCCTTTCCGTATATACATCACATTTTATATTTTATTCGCTAAATATTATAACATTGAACTCTCAATAGATAGATTTAAATTTATAATAGCAATCGATTATTTACGAGTTAAATTATTATCACGTGTAATTTTTTTCATTATTTTTATATTGTACGATCTTAAATAAGCAGCGCAAGATAATCGAATGATATTTTAATCGATTACGAGAACGGAAGAGAATGCGATATAGATGTTATCGTATATTGTTAGCAATGTAAAACCGGCAAATTCGCCACAACGCATACGGTTTATCACGATGGTGGCATCTATATGCGCTTCATTATTTATGAGCTCGCTGAAATGATTTGATCGCCGCTCATTGGAGATTGACGGATATCGATTTGACTTGTCGCAAGTCCGCGACGACGATTACGCGTCGATCCATATGATGGATGTTTCGCTAGCGACGCGATGAGATGAAAAACGAGATTCCAGGACAGCGAAGACAAATCCTACGAACTTTTATTATAAAAAGTCATGGCGATCCCAGTTGGCGTATATTTGAATAATTGAATAGATATTCAATATGGTGATTGACATATCTTATGTATGCATTATGTCAGATCTGTAAACTATCAAATTCACAGATTATCGAATTTAATTATTTACCAGTGAAAAATAAATGCTAGAGTATTCCACCTCACAGAGAGAAAAAATTTGATATGAACGCTAATCCTAGGCTATAATGATAAATTTATTTGCACATATATAGATCGCAAATTATTTATAAGTGTAATTAATATTTATTCTTCTTTGTACTCGCTATAAAAATTATTTGCAACAAATGCAAAATATTTATCAAATATATTTGTTATAAATAGTAAACAAATTTGAATATTCTGTAATCCCTTTTGAGTTTATAGCAAATTTTTTCTCTCTGTTCGAGAAAAATTCTTATTTCGATTTTAGTTCAAGTTGTTGTTCAAGTGTTGACACAATTGGTTCTTATAAAGTTTAGCAGATTGCATCGCGCGACCATTTGATTATTAAAAAATATTTTTGATGACTTTCGCTTTTTGAATTAGAAAGCTGGCAACTCGTTTTTTTATTCGACAGTTATTCGACATTGCGATTTGGAATGATTTTCATCATCTGACTCTCTGAGTGTTAAACCCATTGAGATAACTCTCGCGAATTATTAGACAATTGTTGGAATAATGAACGATATTTGAACACAGGAGCTTCCTGCAGATATCTAGCGCATGAACAATGGTCATAATGCTCTATACCGAAAGGAGTTTGTTCGCCGGAAACTACCCTGTTCTCAAATTTGATACGTGTTCGATCTGCATCGGTGCATACTGACTTTAGCACGAAATGGAACTTTTGCGATTCGTGATAATTTATTTATTTTGTTATAATATCTTGAATTTGATTTCTTTTTCTCGCTCGCGAAATTAGAAAAAGGGGCACTCTCCTGATTTATTAACTTAT